TCAAACTTGGGTCCCCTGAAAGAATAGTCAGTGTTCTTAACCACTGAGCCATCTCTCCAGCCCCTGAGCAATAGGATCTTACCACAAAGTTCTGGAGGGTAAACAAGAGTAATGACAATAGCCTGTAATGTTTTTTTTGGGGGGGGGTCTAGGGGACCACACTGATCAACAACTTGAAGAAAGATACATTATATCTCTCTTTAGTAGGCTTTTTATTTGATAGCCTATAGTGTCTAGGCGAGACATTATCCTCCCATTATATTGTAACATTAAAACCCCTTTTATATATGAATATGAATATATATTTTAGGAAGCTTCTATTGTAATAGGTTCCATGTGGCCTTTTCAAAGGTCTTTATTGTTAGTTAGCCTTCACCATACTCCCTTCTCTACCCTACATCCCAACCCCCAACCAATTAACTCTTCCTGTTCCATTGTTCCCCTTTCTCCCTTCATACCATCTGTGTTCTATCCCACTTACTTTGTAACACCCCCATGGCTTCCTAGCTTCCTTACTTCTATGGGATCTTCAATTCAACACATTTATATAAATATTTAAAACTAACATTCACATATAAAAGAAAACATCAGACATTTGCCTTTCTGGATCTGAGTTACCTCACTCAGAATGATTATTTCCAGATCCATCCATTTACCTGCTAATTTCATTTTTCTTTAACAGATGAATAGAATGTCACTGTGTAACTAGATCAAATTTTCATTATCCATTCACCAGTTGACAGGCATCTAGGCTGTTTCCATTTCTTGGCTATTGTGAATAGAGCAGCAATGAACACTGGTAGACAGGTATCTCTGTAGTAGCATATAGAGTCTTTTGGGTGCATGTACAGGATACAGCTGGATCACATGGTAGATTTTTGTGTAGCTTCCTAAGGAGCTCCACATTGATTTCCACAGTGGCTGCACCAGTTTGCACTCCCACCACTAGTGAATGAGAGTTCCCCTTTTCCACACGCACACCAGTATTTGTTATCATTTTTAAAAAATCTTAGCCATTCTTACTGGAGTAAGTAAAATATTTTTAAAGCTGGATGGATGTTGGCAAGTGATGGCACTTCTCATTCACTGTACAGAAGAGGACATTGAAGTACAGAAATAGGACATGACTTTACCCGTGTCACTGGGCATACACCTTTAAATTTTCCTTTACTAACCACAAGGATTTTGAAATTCAGTACCTATCAGAACTAAGGTAATTATAGATTCACTTCTAGATAAACTGGAGTCCTGGGCTTGGAAGACTGGAGGGACTACATGGCTAAGGACAAGTGAAGAGTAGCAAGCTGTGGGGTACTATCAAACAGAGCCCATGAAGAAGAGGAAAGCAAGCCATAGCTGTGGCACCTTGTGAAGGAAACATGGCTAGTGCAAAGTCATGTTCTTACCCATCCTGTGAAAACCAGGCAGGCTTCCATGTAAGCACCATTTCTCTTATGGCCAAACCTATCATTTTTGCCTTGGATCAGAATCTATTTTCCATCTATCAATTGTGAATTGACCAAGGCAATCAATAGGAAACTAGACAAAAAATAAGCAAGGCTACCAAAGAACTCAATGACACTATCAAATAATAGAGCACAATCCACTCAACAGCAACAAAACCCACACACTTCCCCAAAGCTCCTGAAACACTTGTCAAGACTGATGACATCCTGGGCCATAAATCTACATTAACAAATGGAAAAGAAATAAATCAATGTACAGTGCATTCTCGGATCACAATGAAATCAAGCAAGCCAGTCTCAGGAAAGCTTCTAAAATTGAAAGCACACTTTAAAATAATCCATATTCTCAAGTGCAAAAGTCTTCAGAGAAAGAAAAAAACTATGCATTGAACTAAATGAAAATTAAATACAGTGTATCAAAACTTGAGACATGGCAATACTTATGGCACCAACTGCTTACACAGAGAATAATTTCAAATCACAGATTTAAGTTCCACCTCAAAAATAAGACCAAAATAATCCCAAAGCAAATAAAAGAGCAGAAATAATAAACAGCAAAAATAAATGAAACTGAAACAGAAAAATGGCAGAGAAAAATGATGAAACCAGAAGCTAGACTTTTGAGAATGTCTATATAACAAACCTCTGAGAAAGAATTTTTATATAAGGAAGATGAAGAAAAGCACCAATGCCAGCAATAAAGCAGGTGTTGCTGCAGGCAAAAATTTTAAGGGAATATCATGAGCAATTCTATGTGCACAAATTTGACCACTTAAAATAAATGGAACAATTCCTTGAAAAGCACAAATTATCATGACTTACCCAATAAAACTGTGGTTTTAAGAAACTTATTGAGAATATGAATTTTTAATTTTTAGAGTCTCTCCAAAAAATTTTTAAAAATCACCCAAAACTCTTGAACCAAATGATATCACTAGAGAAGTCCACCAAACATAAATATTTGAATAACTACCACAAACTCATACAATCCACATGTATGCCAGTAAATAGATGATGAGACAGCCCTTCCCTCCTGATTCTATGAAGGTCAATTATCCTCCATGAATACAGATGTGAGAAATCTTAGCAAAGTTTTAGCAAACTGGATTCAGCAACATACAAAGTGAATTTTTGAGTCGACTATTACTAATCAGGATGACCACAAAGACTTTCTTCCAGGGTTGCAATATTGGTTAAGTACTGGAAAATCATCAATACAATCCATCATATTAAGAAACTAAAGAAATACATTAAAATCACTTGGCAATTCAATACTCATCTATGACTTTTTAAAAAGGTCTCTTAGAGAACTAAAAATTATGGGGACTTTCCCAAATGGATAAAGAATATGTATAAAACATCGCCAGCTGGCATCCTACTTAAAATAAATGGCTAAACAATTTGCTACTACAACGTGTAAGGGCCAAGGTTGTCCAGTCAACTATTACTATACAACACTTGATATTCTACCAAATACAATAAGCAAGGCAAGGAAATAAAACACACATAGATTGGATGTCCCAGATAGTTTGAATTATCAACTTGACAGGGCCAAGAGTCATCTGAGATGGGAGTTTCAATTGAGAGATTTACCTGTGGGGGAAAGTCTTTACTGTTAATTGATATAGCTAGGTAAGCGTGGGTCTGCAAGTGAGCCAGCAAGTAGTGTTTATCCATGGTTTCTGCTGCAGGTTCCTACTTGTGTTCCTGCCATGATTTCTCTCAATAATGGGCTGTGATCTATTAGTGTAAGCCTTTGAAAAAAAAACTTTGCTATCTTAAGTTACTTTTGATAAAAAGAGATGAAAGTAGAACACTGGGAAACAAGAAGTGAAATTCTCCTTACAGATGACATGATGTTGTACATAGAAAAACCCTAAGCAAATTTTGGGTTGGGGGATAGTAAGGGGTGTACAGATAGGGGAAGGGCTCTAATTACAATCAAAATATGTTGTATGAAATTCACAAAAATTCAACTGAAAAGGAAAAATACTTCTATAATTCCTAAAAGTTCAATTAGAGATCACATCAGCATTCAAAAATCAATTTGTATTTATGGATATGAATAATTAACACACAGGAGAAATTTGAAAATACAGTACCATCTACAATCACTTCACAATACTTTGGTGTTAATAAAAAAAATGCTTTCAGGATTCCCATGTTATCCACTATGAACCACTGATTTAAAAACAAAAACAAAAAAGGTTAAAGAAGATCTAAAGGAATGAAAAGTCATGTTATATTCCTGGACTGGAAGACAATGTATACAAAATGTCCATTTCTTTCCAAATTGATACATAGGCTTAACATGATTCTTATCAAAGTCCTAGCAAGAATTTTTTAGATATAGACAACATTATTCTAAAGTTTTTATGGAAAAAGTAAAAATCTGTAAGATTTAAAATATTGTTAACATGAATGAGTCTGTTGAATTACTCTCATTTCAAGACTTCCAAAACTATGAGCATGGACTGAGGAAGTATCTCAGTAGCAAAGTGATTGCCTGTTATATGCAAGGTCCTGGGTTCAGCTTCCATCAAGCAAATCAGTGTGGAAACTGATGGAGCAATCGACATAGAGATAAACAGAAGAAAATAAAAATGCAGAGATAGCCCATACTAGTCAAGCCAGCTGATTTTTTGACAACTGCCTAAACACGGTTAAACAAAAGAAAGATAATTTCTCAAATGGAGATCCATGGAGGTTGGAGGGAAAAAATTATCAAAATTTCAAAACTTGATTCCATATAAAAATTAGTTGAAAGCAGGTCATGATTTGAAGCCTAAAATATAATATTATGAAACCTTTAGAAGAAAATCCTCATGAACTAGAACTTCATAGAATTCTTAGAATCTCCATAAAAGGAGATCCAATAAATCGGATTCTATCAATATTAAAACCTTCCCTCTGTGAAAGGGCCTGTTGAGAGGATGAAAAGACAAGCTACAGATCTGACAGACGGTAGAGAACTTTTAATTCCCAACAGTCAAAAAGTGAAATACAGCCTAACGATCCAACAAGTAAAAGGGCAAATGGCACCAAGAGACACGTCCGTGAAGAGAATGAGCTGGTGAGAACTAAACACACACAGCAAGCTCAGCACCAACAGTTCAGAAACTGAGAATTAAGACGACAGCAATATAAACTTATGTGATACAGACCATATTTGGCAGACTAGTGCCAATCTCCTGGCTTTGCTATCATATAACTATGCGACTACAGGGGACATCTCTGTCCTACGTTAGCAACTCTGTTAGTTTATAGTTATTTAGTACAAAAATCCTTAATGTACACTATACTAGCATTTTCTTCTTCTTTTTCTTCTTTTTTTTTTTTTTTTTTTTTTTTTTTTTTTTTTTTTTTTTGGTGAGACAGGGTCTCAATGTGTAGCCCTGGCAGGCATGGATCTCAAGGCAGTCCTTAAACTCAGAGATGTGCCCGCCTCTGCCTTCCAAGGGCTGGGAATAAAGGCATGTGCTACCACACCAGGCTCACAGAATCTTTTCTACAGGGATAAGAAACAGGACTCACTTCCGATGTCCGGCCTCAGCTTTTTGTCATATTCTCTTAGCAGCTTGTTGAGAATCAAAGTCACATCGGTGTCTTGGGATTTTGGTGCCAAGACCCACTTTTGGTTTGATGAAGAGTCTTCATACTCATCCTCTTCCACCTTTCTGGACCTGTAGTTATAATACAACATGACCCATAAGTTGCAACAACAGCTCCTGAAAACAGCTTTCTTTTTTTCTTGTTTTTGTTTCGTTTTTAAATTTGTTTTTATTGGATTTTTGAGTATTTTATACAGAATATCTCAAACTATCTTAATCATCTTTATACCCTCATCCCCACTGTCACCCTCCCATAGGCCCCTCCCCCGAACCCATATACTCTGTCATTAGTGTTAAGGCCCAGTGTATCAAGTCTGTGTCCTCAGACATTACCCAGTCAAGTCCATCCACTAAGGTCTAGTCAGCCTATCTAGAGTCTCTTGTTTTAGGAAGATCATCTAAATTGCTAATTTCAAGTGCTACTAAAATGGGTAGAAAGTCTCCAGTGCCCTTAGCCCAGCCAAACATGTTGCCTATAATACTAAAGACAAAGAGAAACACAAATTGGGAAAAATTTGATAGAAAGAGTGCAATTGAGTTTTACATGACATCGGTTTAAATGTCACAGACCAGCCCTGCCAAACTTAAACCAGAGACACAACAATGGGTAAATGATGCCAAATCAGTAAAGAGGAAATGAGCCATTCTTGGATGCACCTTAACAGCCTTCCAAAGTCAAAAATCTTTCAGAGTACTTTGCCACATTGTTTCTAACTCCCACCTACAAGATTAGTTGAAATTAAGAGTAGCTTTTGCAGAATGGACTCATTGAAAGTAGCTGACTATGACTGTGCTTCCCTTGCAGCCTCCATTTTGGACATTATGAGGTGGTCTGATTGGCTGGCACTTGTCATGGGGGACAGCCCATAGATGTGTTAGCTGATGCATGGAATATCCTCTGGCAATGTATATGCTTGGTCAACAAAACTGACTCATCTCTCATTCAGCAGGCAGAAAGAATTAAAAACTGTTTCATATGTCTTCAACACTCCGAGCTCCTTAGAAGTGAATCTCAATCAGTGCATCTGATTTTATGTCCTGCCCTGCTGCGTGATAAACACAGACAGGAACTCTTGACCCACACCGACAGGAGCTCTTGAGTGTAGAGGCCTTCAAGTCAACAAGCAAGTGTTCTCAGTGAATGAAGACCTCCCAGCTGTAGTCCCTGTGACTTGGAAAGCAACGGTGTCTTTCTACCTTGAAGCAACACTTCCTTACATGTACACAGACACTGGCCCTCAGGAAAGCTTGTAAAACAAAAATCCTCTGTCCTAGTTTGTCAGTGTACTACCTGGATCACTCTTTTCTAATAAGAGAACAACAACAACAATAAAAACTACATTGAGAGGGATTTGTCCTGACTAAACACGACCTCATTTCTGCTCAGACTCTCAGACACGAGCCAAAATGTCAAAACCACACCAGGGTGTTTATGCTCTGGAATGTCAGCTTCCTGAAGTTAACAGGGAATCAACAAAAAAAAGTTCAGTCCTTCTTCTTCTCTTAAATCTTCAAAGCATGTATATGTAATATGTATATGTACATGTTATATATTATGATTATGATTATGATTTGCATCATCCATTTTTATGAACGTTAACACACTGTGGCAGTTTAAAGTAGTGGCCAGGAAGCCTAAACAAGGATTAAGTATACAGTTGACCCCCTTCTCTACTCTGGATTGGTCCTAGAACTCCCAGAAGATATACCAAAATCTGAGGATGTTGAAGCCCACATATAAACTGATGCAGTACTTGCACATAGTATTCATGGATACTTTAAATCATCCCCAGATGACTAGCTCAATGTAGCTACTATGTAAATAGCTATTAGATGGTATTGTCTGGCTAATACAGACAAGAAAAATTCTATACATGTACAGTACAATTTCTCCAATTAATTGCTGCTTGGAGCTGCAAATGTGGAATGCGTGGATATAAAAGCCCAGCTATCCACAGAGATATGAGATTTTGATAATGAGTATACGTCTTGTAGAATAATTTTGCACTTAAACTTTTCCTAAGCTGAATTCTATCTCTTGAATACCTACTGGCCAGAAGACCAAACTACATCATCTACAAATTCCTCAGATTGCTGTAGATTTTTATCCTGAACATTCAGCATCAAGAGGGACAGGATATTTGGCACATTCACCCAATAAGGGATATGATGCACTTCATGACTAAAAAACCCCAATTTTTGCAAATTATATTAAAGAATTTTAAATGCTAAAGTATTTTATGCTGTTAGGAGCAATATACAGAGTGTTAATTTTGTCACCTTGCAAAAGCAAAGCAAAACAAAAAGTAACTAACAGGAAGCATTTGGATGCCGAAGAGCCACACACTTCACACTGGACCTAACAACATACTCCAGAATAAAGATATCTAAGGACTGTGGAAATCAGTGGCTCTTTCCAGCAAAATCTCAGAAGCACGTACAACCTGCTCAGGGCTCCTTTCAACACAGCCAGCATGTTTCCTCAGTCCCTGCCATGTGCCCATCTCTTTCTCCTGCTCTCCCCTTTTCTTCCTCTCCTGGCCCCTATCCACCATGACAGAAGTCTCTGTTCTTCAGCTCTGTGGTCCTCTACTGTCCCAAAGTCACGCATGTGCAGATAGCACACTCACCAATTCCTCAGCATTCTCACAGCCTTGGTTTCTAAAAATTACTTTTAACTACTTCAGTAGAGGTATCATAATGAGCCTCATTCTCCCTCTAGTGGTGAGAGGGTTTACCTGAACTTGCATAATTCTGAGCAGCCAGGGCAGGTGGGAGAGGAGGTGATGGAGGGAGGGGAAGCAGGGGTGTTCTCTCTTCCACTCTTGCAGGGGGGTCCCTGATATCTTAGCTGGGTCATGGACCATAGGCAGAGAGGCCTCAGAGGCTCTTGCTTCTCAGCCACCAGCTCTGTGCTTCTCCCAGCTAAGAAGGTGAGGCAGATGCCTTGCTTTTGCCTTGCTTTACACCAGCTCAAAGGAAGATCCTTGCCCAGAGGAAAGCCAATCTCATTGCAGGGGACCGGCCAGAAGATGGATGAAAACAGAGCTTCCCCCTTCAACCTCCCCCCAATTCTAAGTGGGTTATATATAATCTTTACGAGATCCTTGCCCAGAGGAAAGCCAATCTCATTGCAGGGGACCGGCCAGAAGAAGGATGAAAACAGAGCTTCCCCCTCCAGCCTCCCCCCAATTCTAAGTGGGTTATATATAATCTTTACAAGCATTTTGTTACTTGGATTGCTGGATCCTATATAGCATCAGTACAATTAGCTTTTCCTTTAAAAATAAGTCAGTGATGTACTGACATTGTAAGATACGTGCTCAACTCCCAGGCATTATTTTCACTCCTTACACCTTCTTTCATCAGAATGACAGAAACAAGTTTCAGAGGATTTTTAAATATTAAAGAAGCTCCTAAACCCTCCAAAGCAGTAAGCTTCTCCAAAACCATCAAAAGGTGCAGTGTGACATACCACATCTTCCTGTGTTAATAAGCTCACCCATGGGTGCCAGGGTGTAAGGTGATCCCACTGCAGAACCACAAGGCACTCTGTCTTCCTTTTTTAAAGGAGTGTCCAGGCCAGCAAGGCATCTCCAAATGCCAATTAGAATCTTCTCAGAGCTAATAATAGTTTTGAAAGATTAAACTGGCCAGGAGATTATTTTACATGTTTGTGAACACCACTGAAGAATGAACATTCCTTCAAAGGAGGGACATATAGCAACAGCATAAATACAAATTTGGGTTGTTTAAACTGATATGCAGTCATAATTATCAAGATTGAAAGTCCAGATAGAGAACATATTAAAATCGGTTACATGTGCTTTGGCTGAAAGGGAAAAAGGATGAGGAATCCCAAAGGATATATGAGCATTGGGGAATCTGCAGAAACCAGACTGCTCCAAGCCATACACTAAGACATCTTCGCACAGCGCACACAGAATGATGAGGAAAACGAAGTTTTCCTTCTAGAATCATAAGTACCTGTAGACCTGAGCAACTGATTGCCTAACCCTGAGCTGCAGGACAGTTTTTGAATTGGTGACAACAGGAAGGGCAGGCTGATGTGAGTCCAGCCTCCCTGGTGCTCCTGGAGCTTTCTGCTTCTAAACAGAGACTTCCTCAGAAGGCACTTTTCTCTTCCAACCTCCCTTTTTGGACAGGGAGAAACTTTGGTGGAGAGGCCCCAGGATCTGCTGCCTCCCTGAACCAGAATTTAGGAGGCTCCAATGGAGCTGCCCTTTCACACCCACAATTCAGCAAGAATTAGAGGGCAGAGAGGGCAGGACTTCCATCCTTAGGGCAAGTGCTTTGGTTAGCAGGAGTAAGAATTTGGGAACTACCTAAGTAGTTCCAAAGGTTTGAAGGATTTATTATGGTGTTTTCTTAATTCCTTGATATTTCACAAACCTGAATGAAAAATGAAAGCCTCTGATAGCTACAGTGCTTGTGACCAGCAACCATAGATGCTCTCTAATTCTCTCTGAGATCCAGAAAATTGACAAGTGTTGAAACAACGAGTGTGTTCTGGGAATAGGGGTGTTCTGTCATTCCTGCGGTGAGGCTAGTGGAAGCAGCAGGAGGCTGCACTGAGTCCCAAAGCCCACGTACTTCACAGGCTTGCCCAGAGCCCCAGCCCCAGGGACAGAATTAAGCCATGCCTGCATCTCTAGTTGTGTTTATGGCAACAATCTTTAACCCTTCTGGTCCCACTACCCTTCTGTCCTCATGAGCCCTTCACACCTTTCCATGAAGTGTTTCTAAGTTTCTGTGAGCCGCCTGGTGTTCTGGAAAGAGGTTGGGGGAATTCACAGTGAGGTAATCTCTTACAGCTTCAGAAAGAAGCTTCCATGTCAACAGCAACATGCTTCCCTTCTAGGGGAAGGTGTGCCTGTGTTGTGTTGGACTGGAGGGGAAGCCCTTTGAGAGCGCCCATCTGGTTTCCACTTGCCTCCAGCCCACTAACTCTAATCTACACAGAGGAGCAAAGAAACCAGAATTCCTGGGTCCTACAATTTTCCAGCAAAGAAACTGAGTGAGAATGTCAACCAATGTGTGTGGGAGAGCTCTTTGAATACCTGGGGTGGGCATATGGGGTAGATAAGGAGACAGATACGTCCACTGTCTCAGCATTTTGTTTTCCAATTTCCCTTAAAATCACCACATCCTAAAAGCATCTGAAGAGCCCCACATTCCCGGTTGGGTTGCAGAGGACTGCAACCGCCCTGGAGAGGTAGCTGGCCTTGTTTTGGGGGAGAACGACAGGTGAGATGCGGAAAACGTCCGGTCTCCTCCTGCAGCCCAGCCGACGGCTTGCGCAACGGGGGCCGGAGCCGGGAGACAGCGCCCGAGACCCCCGACCCCGGGCCACCCTACTGCACGCGCGGGCCCCGGGGGAACGCGGGGCCGCCACTTACCGAGCATGCAAGCCGGAAAACAGGCAAAGTAGCAGCAACAGCTTCGGGGCCATGGTGCTCTGTTGCCCGGGTCCGAGGCCTCGGCCAGGCACCGCTTTCTCCCCAACACCAGCCGGTCTCCACCGGCCTCCCCGCCTGGGATACCGCGGGCTGCAGCGCTCCCGGCACCCGGCGTTGCGGGGCTAGACCGGTTGTCTGCTCCGGGCGGGCCGCGCCCCCGACGGCCGGTCTGCAGCTCCGCGGGGCGCACGCGGGATGCCGCGCCCGCTGGCACCCAGGCGGTCTCTGCGCGGCGATGGCGAGGCAGGTGGCGGGGCAGGTGGCGGGCGCCCCGTTCCCGCAGCCGGAGGTAGGCTCCGGGCTCCGAGCTCAGGATCCGCCGCCGCGCTCCGGCGGGGCGGGAGGTCGCGGCTCCTCTGGAGGCGCCCGCACAGCGGCCCCGGCGGGGAGGAGTTTCCCCAATTACACGCTTGGCAACGCGAGGCGAAGGCTCTAAGGTTTGAATGAACTCAGAATTGGAGGCCGGGAAGGGGGCGGGGCCGGAGGTGAAGAGCTTGGGGATCCCGCCGGGAACCTGAGAAAGGTCCCAGAGACTGGCACCTGTCGTCCACTGAGCCTGTCCGTGTTTCTCCTTGTCGTCTGAGCTCAGGTAGTTTTCCTGCAGCGTTCCTTCACCCCGGTTGCCCTCTGCCGTGTGACTTCTCTTAGGGACGCCATTGCAAGTGGATGAGTTGATTTGCCAAAAGCAGACCTTAGGGTGCGTGGTACTAGCTCACCTGAACATCATCAGTGCTTGGAAGGGTGGTTTGGAGCAAAGCATTTGAAGGGTCGTTTTCTTACAGAAAATTGAATCTAAAATATACCAGTAAACGGCAGAAATGAACACGGAAAAGGCCAGAGAGAAGGACCCTGAGTCAGAAAAGGAAAAGACCATCTGTTCGGTGGAGTCAAGAAGCGCAATTCATTCGACGTATTTTTCTGTTCCAAACTGAAAACTGCATCTGTTTTCATTTGTATAATCACTTGGAAAGCTTGTCTTTCACCATATACATATATATTAATTTCAAGACACCGTAAGTCCATTTTGCTTTCTTAATAAAACATCATTATTAGAAAACATGTTTTCATCTACTATTCATTGAATCAGTTTCTTTGATACTGTTGAAGGTGTTATCCTCAGGGTCAAATTGCGTCCATCTTCATGAGATCTGCCATGCCTACTTGCCAGAGTTTATCTGGATCTGGCCTGTGGACTGTCCATCTTCCTTCAGAGAGAGTGTGAGGGATGCTCTTCTAATATTCCAACCACTCACAGCCGTTTATATGAAATTGCCTCCTAACTGCACTTGGCCTGGGTCCAGAGGAGGTGCTAGTATATAGGCTGGGGAAAAGAAGGGGAAGGGGGGAATTTACCTGTGTGGCTATGTGGAAGCCATCATTCATGCATTCGTGCACAATGAAGAACATCAGTGTGGCTGCTTTGAGCCACTCATACCCCTGCCAGTAACCCCCTTACCCACGCTCTGTAAGACCAAGAAACTCAATGGTTCCTCAGCATGAACTGTGCTGGAATCATACTTTGCTTTGTTCTTAGGATCTTAGGAAGAGAGAGTAGATGTTCACATCTCCTTCAGGGGATGAATTTTTGCAACACTAACAAACAACCTTTTTTATAAAATACTGGCTAGGAGGTTAAAATCTCCAGCTTTCTCTCCTTTGTCTCTCCATTCACAGACATGAAAAACAGGCTAGTGGTAGAGTGGATATTGTTGTTGATGAAAACTTTATTGTTTTAACCAAGGACTGTGCCTCCTTGGTTAGCCCAAGCTCCTTGTTGTCTTCCAGTCTCTGGAAAGCTTGCCCCCATCCCCTCCCCACCGCTACTGCGCCCCCTGCCAAGACTCTTCCTAGCACCCTTCTTTGCCCACACCTACTCAAGCGCACGTGCCTATGTTTTGTGGAGACTCCTGACATTCTTGTGTTGTTCCACAGTCAACACCTTCTTTATCACATCTTCAAACGCTGTGTAGCATACAACTTAGCATTTCAAATTTCACTTAGATGATGATGTAGTATTATAGAGACACCGTCGACTATCAAGTTCCACTCTGGAGACTGGTTCCAGGATCCCTGGGGATGAGAAAATCTGGCATATAAAATGGATTAAGAATTTCATATACCTCCTGTATGCTTTGAGCCACCTCTAGGTTATTTTTAATACTTATGATAATACAAATGTGATGTAAATGCTTGTTAAATTTGCTAGGTACTAAGAAAAATGTCTTCGGTACAGACACAATTTTTAGGAAGATATTTTCCATTCAAGCTGGTTGAAGTCAAGAACACAGAGCCCACAGGTACAGGAGGGCCACCTGCATTTCATCTCCACATAGTTTTTTAAAATGTGCTGCAAGAAAACTGAAAGTAAAATGAAATAGTCCTTTCATGCTCCCATTTTAACATACTAATATGACCATAGATGAAAATAATGTCAGACATGTGTGCTATGAGATCCAAAGGCCAATGTGATTAACTCATTTAATTCTCCATTGCACAGGTGAAGAAAAGACTTAGGGAGGCTAACCCCTTCCCCAAGGCTAAGACTCTAGAAATAAGGCCCAACCTCTCACTCTAAATCAGTTTGTCCACTGTCTCTCTGGGGAGGAGGTAAGCAGACACTCAGTATTTTCTCTTCCTGAAAAGTGGTCTCTCACCATATTCTTTATTTGCAGACCATGAGTTGTTTACAAGTTGTTGTTGTTGTTTAACAGTAGAAACAGACTGGTACCTGAAAGATTTTGCAAAATGTAAGCATAGTATCCTGAGATTGTATGTATGTCTGTATTTATTACAACCCATCAGTGGAAGAGAAAACGTGAGGCCTTTTACAGCCCTGTGCTGGCTGGTGCCGTTGGATTTCTCTTTCCTGCATATGTTTTGACATGCCATTATTATGATCAAGTGTGACCTGACTTCTTCTGGAGTTTGTAATGATTTGCTTCTTTTCTTGTGCACAGTGGGTCAGCTTGATAGAGTTGAGTATTTTACTTTTGAAGCCTAGTGGTACAGTCTGGAGGGAAAAAAAAGATTTTATGCTAAATGAGCCAGGAGGGATGGGATATTCAAAGCAAGATTTCTGAACACGAGTATGAAAGCAAAATTCAAGGCCTCAAATCTTCAAAGCACAGGCTACCAGTCTTTGATTTCCCTCTCTTGCCTAAGTTGACCTGGGGGGGGGGGGGTACTTTGCAGAGCATGCGCAGTGCTCACCCTCTCTGCAACCTCAGCCTCTTCATTTTCAGCACCTGAGAAATTTGACAGCTCCATTTGGGTGAGCAGGATTAACATTCCCTTCCCCTGCAGGAAAAGATAGAGAACCAAACAGCGGAAAGGAGATCGACCACAAGATAGTTGCTTAATAATAAGGGATAAGGATTGGGGAGTTGATCCGCAAAACCAGCACTGATGTTTCTATCAACAGCGAGCTTTGCCCGGCCCTGCGGGCCTCAGGCTGGAGCTGCTGTTGGTTTGGGGAAGACCTGAACATCCATAACAGTGTGTGGGCGGAGCCACAGCTCCTCTCCGCCGGAGGCCGGAACTGCCTGAGAGGAGGAGGCTGGCAGCCTTGGCTTGGGGATCCTCTTGTGGCTTCTCAGAGAAATACTTCTCTGACATTCCATCCGCAGCCTGGCTTCCCTTACCACTGGCGCCAGGGAGCAAAGCCAGGCTGCTGCTCTGGATACCATCTCAAGGGGCTGGCTTGCCTGCTCTTTCATTTCACGTAAAAGAAGCCTGAAGCATATTTTAAAGATCTTTGTGCTTCTGTCACTAAATACTGTGTGAGGTGTATCCATGCTGTTCTGTGTCAACAGTCATAGTTTTATGCCTGTACATAGCTCACTGTGTGAGGATTCCATCCATTATTTACTTGATGAACATTCCTGTCTATGTCTTCTGATGGAAATAAGTACTTATTTCTCTTGGTTATTTGACTAAAAGCAAATCTCCTGATAAAAAGGAAGGCATTTGTTTACTTGTAATAAAAATACCTCCAGAAATGTCCAAAGCAGTGTGTCCCTGTACCAACTACTTATGTCAACGTTGATGAAATGTGGCCTTGCTGTTCTTTTAAATTATAGCCATTCTGATATTTCAGTCTGGTTTTGATTTCATCAAATGCTTTTCAATTCTTGCCAAGCATCAAAATATCTTCTGTGAAGTTGATTATTTAAGTCATTGCCCATTTCTAAACTAACTGATTGGACTTTATGTTTGTAGCTCTTTTGGAATGTTTTAATGATTCCTTCAATGCAAACAAGACAAACATTTTCCTTTACTCAGTTGTTTCCAACTGCCAAGCTGGGGGTAGAGGCTTTACCACATGGGCCTTTGAGACACATTCCAGCTGCTAGCTCTAGCACCTTGACATTCGCCAAAGGTCTTGTGAGTACACTGCTTTGGGCCCCACTTAACAAAGGATTGCTTGCCCATGAGTCAGAAAGATAGCTTGCTGTAGCTCTGCCCAAAACTTCAGAAGATTGTCCCTCTTCTAAGACTGAATTACAACTCAAATGAACTTTTATAATAATTTCAATTTTATAATTTTAAGTCATTGATTTATGAGTCAATGCTTATTTTCATGAAGATAACTAGTCTAGTATAATTTATATAAAACTTTGCCCTGATATAATTCAATTTACTTAAATCAGGTTCACATATATGAGTAGATCTTTTTCTGGACTTTGTTCTTTTTTTATCTACTTTATATTTGTATCAATACTACACTATTTAAAAATTGCATAGCTTACCAGTTGCAGTAGTGCACACCTGCAAAAGGACCAGCCTAGACTATTTAAAATGATCCTGTCTCAAAAGAAAAACTACAGTTTATGTTTATTTATTCCTAATGTCTATTATTGTATTAATGATTTTTAATTTTCTGAGTATTTTATGCTGTTTTATGAGTCAGGTTAACTTTTAAAAACCATTCTCTCTGAATTATTCACAAGCTTAAAAAGAAATTTGTTAGACTAACACAAAAATAACTCATGTTATCCCTTCCACAACATAGTTTAATTTCTCCAGTTACATCTTCAACAGTGTTTTCTCATTTCATACAATACTCCACCCAGGTCTGCACATTTAGTTGTTGTACCCTTCAGCCTATCTTTGATCTGAAAAGTTCCCTGCCCTTTCTTGGTCTTGCATAGCTTCGGTATTTTCAGAAGACACCTGCTTTGTTAAAATGCACCTCAGCCTGACTCTGTCTGCTCTTTTCTGGTGCTCAGACTTGGGTTATGTTTTTGGCATAGACAGCATTGCTTTCCTTAGTGCTGCACATTGGCAAGTGTGGCCTATTAGGTCACACTGATCCCTGGACTGAGTTGTAGTCTGCCAGCTTTCTCCACTATAAGTTACTTTTTTATTCTCTTAAATGTTAACTATTC